TACCCTAGTTACTCGCCCCCACCTTATAGGTATTGTATGTCTCTCGACGCCCCCCTAGTGTGGTAGCTCCTTGAATCTCTAGTTACTGTCCCCTAGTGTGTGTGGTAGCCTAACCCCTAGTTACTCGCCCCTGGTGTGGTAGCCTAACCCTAGCTACTCGCCCCCTATTGTTGTAGCCTTATCCTAGTTACTCGCACCCACCTTATATCGTATTGCATGTCTCCACGCCCCCTAGGGTGGTAGCCTAACACTAGTTATTCGCCCCCACCTTATATCGTATTGTATGTCCCAACGCCCCCTAGTGTTGTAGCCTAACCCTAGTTACTCGCCCCCACCTTATATCGTATTGTATGGCTCCACACCCCCTAGTGTGGTAGCCTAACCCTAGTTCCTCCCCCCCTAGTGTGGTAGCCTTATCCTAGTTACTCGCACCCACCTTATATCGTATTGCATGTCTCCACGCCCCCTAGGGTGGTAGCCTAACACTAGTTATTCGCCCCCACCTTATATCGTATTGTATGTCCCAACGCCCCCTAGTGTGGTAGCCTAACCATAGTTACTCGCCCCCACCTTATATCGTATTGTTTGTCTCCACGCCCGCTATTGTGGTAGCCTTACCCTAGTTACTCGCCCCCACATTAAATCGTATTGCATGTCTCCACGCCCCCTAGTTTGGTAGCCTCACCCTAGTTACTCGCCCCCACATTATATCTTATTGTATGTCTCTAACGCCCCCTAGTGTGGTAGCCTTACCCTAGTTACTCGCCCACACCTTATATCATATTGTATGTCTCCAAGCCCCCTACTGTGGTAGTCTAACCCTAGTTACTCGACCCCACCTCATGTCGTATTGTATGTCTCCACGCCCCCTAGTGTGGTTGTCTTACCCTAGTTACTCGGCCCCACACTCATAGCGTATTGTATGTCTCCACCACCCCCTAGTGTGGTAGCCTTTCCCTAGTTACTCGCCCCCTAGTGTGGTAGCCTAACCCTAGCTACAAACCCCGTGGTTTGGTAGCCTAACCCTAGCTACTCGCCCCTAGTGTGGTGGTAGCCTAAACCCAGCTACTGCCCCTAGTGTGGTGTAGCCTCTAACCCCTAGTTACTGCCCCAACCTTTATATCGTATTGTATGCCTCCACGCCCCTAGTGTGGTAGCCTTACCCTAGTTACTCGCCCCCACCTTATAGGAGTAGAGTTGTATGTCTCCCCACGCCCCTAGTGTGGTAGCCTCCTACCCTAGTTACTCGCCCCCAGTGTGGTAGCCTAACCCTAGTTACTCGCCCCTGGTGTGGTAGCCTAACCCCAGCTTACTGCCCCTATTGTTATGAAGCCTCAACCCTAGCTACTCGCCCCCAGTGTGGTACCCCAACCCTAGCATACTCGCCCCACCTTATATCCAGTACAGTATGGCTCCACACCCCTAGTGTGGTAGCCTAACCATAGTTACTCGCCCCCTAGTGTGGTAGCCTTATCCTAGTTACTCGCCCCCACCTTATATCGTATTGTATGTCTCCACGCCCCTAGTGTGGTAGCCTAACACTAGTTACTCGCCCCCACCTTATATCGTATTGTATGTCCCAACGCCCCCTAGTGTGGTAGCCTGACCCTATTTACTCGCCCCCACCTTATATCGTATTGTAAGTCTCCACGCCCCTAGTGTGGTAGCCTTACCCTAGTTACTCGCCCCCACCTTATATCGTATTGTTTGTCTCCACGCCCGCTAGTGTGGTAGCCTTACCCCAGTTACTCGCCCCCACCTTATATCGTATTGCATGTCTCCACCCCCCTAGTGTGGTAGCCTCACCCCAGTTACTCTGCCCCCTGTTCCTTTTATCGTATTGTATGTCTCAACGCCCCTAGTGTGGCAGCCTTACCCTAGCTTCTCGCCCCCACCTTATATCGTATTGTATGTCTCCACGCCCCCTAGTGTGGTAGCCTCAACCTAGTTACTCGCCCCTACCTTATATCGTATTGCATGTCTCCACGCCCCCTAGTGTGGTAGCCTTACCCTAGTTACTCGCCCCCTAGTGTGGTAGCCTAACCCTAGTTACTCACCCCCTGGTGTGGTAGCCTAACCCTAGCTACTGGCCCCCTAGTGTGGTAGCCTAACCCTAGCTACTCGCCCCCTAGTGTGGTAGCCTAACCCTAGTTACTCGCCCCCACGTTATATCGTATTGTATGGCTCCACACCCCCTAGTGTGGTAGCCTAACCCTAGTTACTCGCCCCCTAGTGTGGTAGCCTTATCCTAGTTACTCGCCCCCACCTTATGTCGTATTGTATGTCTCCAACGCCCCCTAGTGTGGTATCCTAACACTACTTACTCACTCCCACCTTATATCGTATTGTATGTCTCCAACGCCCCCTAGTGTGGTATCCTAACCTTAGTTACTCGCCCCCACCTTATATCGTATTGTATGTCTCCACGCCCCTAGTGTGGTAGCCTAACAGTAGTTACTACTGCCCCTCCTTATATCGTATTGTATGTCTCCTCAACGCCCCCTAGTGTGGTAGCTATTCCTCCACCACAACCTAGGTCAGTGGACATGATTTCATCACAATCGTTGAAGTTTTTGTCGATGACGTTGTGCCAAGATGGGTCTCGAATAGTGAATGAGAGAGTTGAGTTTTACGCCGCACTCAGCAATATTCCAGCTATATAATATCTGTAAATTATCGGATCTGGACCAGACAATCCAGGGATCAACAGCATGAACATCGATCTACGCCATTTGGATGCGATGACATGTGTGAACCCAGTTAACGAGCCTGACCCGATCCTGTTAGTCGCCTCTTCCGACAAGCATGGGTTACTGAAGTCTCATCCTAACCCGGAAGTTCACGGGTAGGGTCTCGAATAGTGACATGATGCGAGATTCATAAGCCGTCTGACGTGAAACTGCCAAATCGGTGGCAATTTTGTATACTCCCGTTTTCCACGCACTTGACAACAACAGATGATTCTTGGTAAGTATACTTTACACTACATCGTGTTTGTGCTGTTGCTGTGATGTGAAGTAGATGACAACGGCAGATAATTTTGGTACTACATCGTGTTTGTGCTTGCTGTGAGGTGTAGTAGATGACAACGGCAGATAATAATTTGGTTAGTATAATTTTACACTACATCGGGTTTGTGCTGTTTGTGATGTGAAGTAGATGACAACAGGCTTGGTTATATACTTTTACACTACATCGGGTTTGTGCTGTTGTGATGTGTAGTAGATGACAAGGGCAGATAAGTCTTGGTTAGTATACTTTACACTACATCGGGTTTGTGCTGTTTGTTATGTGAAGTAGATGACAACGGCAGGTCATACTTGGTTATCCTGACTCTACTGGGAAAGTACTCGTAAATGCTTAGTTCGTTTCCTAAACATACTGCTGTATGTTTTATCAGGAAAAGAACTTAACACCGAAAGAGAAACGACAATAATTTTATATAATACGTTCCTTCTAACTCATGTGACATCAGTAAGAGGATGGAATAAAAATAAAACAAGGAATTCGTGCGTGTGTGTGAAACATTGAACAGTATAATGTCGGGTGTGATTCAATCCGTCGTGGTTGTTGCAAACCTATTCCCAATTTGATTCTCCACAATATAACCGGGGACTAACGTTATGTTTGTGTATATTGGCGTAGGCATGTCCTTCCTCCGTCATGCCACCAGATATCCTGACTGTCATAACAGATATCCTGACAGCGTCGATCGCAACTACCCACAGCAGAGAGAGTGAGTCCCTGGTAGTGTAGTACAGCGTTGATCGCAACTACCCACAGCAGAGAGAGTGAGTCACTGAGTAGTGTAGTACAGCGTTGATCGCAACTACCCACAGCAGAGAGAGTGAGTCCCCGGGTAGTGTAGCAACTACAGCAGTAGAGTGAGTCACAGCGTTGATCGCAACAACCCACAGCAGAGAGTGAGTCCCTGGTAGTGTAGTACAGCGTTGATCGCAACTACCCACAGCAGAGAGAGTGAGTCACTGAGTAGTGTAGTACAGCGTTGATCGCAACTACCCACAGCAGAGAGAGTGAGTCACTGGTAGTGTAGTACAGCGTTGATCGCAACAACCCACAGCAGAGAGAGAGAGTCCCCGGGTAGTGTAGTACAGCGTTGATCGCAACAACCCACAGCAGAGAGAGTGAGTCACTGAGTAGTGTAGTACAGCGTTGATCGCAACAACCCACAGCAGAGAGAGTGAGTCACTGAGTAGTGTAGTACAGCGTTGATCGCAACTACCCACAGCAGAGAGAGTGAGTCCCTGGTAGTGTAGTACAGCGTTGATCGCAACTACCCACAGCAGAGAGAGTGAGTCACTGAGTAGTGTAGTACAGCGTTGATCGCAACTACCCACAGCAGAGAGAGTGAGTCACTGAGTAGTGTAGTACAGCGTTGATCGCAACTACCCACAGCAGAGAGAGTGAGTCACTGAGTAGTGTAGTACAGCGTTGATCGCAACAACCCACAGCAGAGAGAGTGAGTCACTGATCGTAGTGTAGTACAGCGTTGATCGCAACTACCCACAGCAGAGAGAGTGAGTCCCTGGTAGTGTAGTACAGCGTTGATCGCAACTACCCACAGCAGAGAGAGTGAGTCCCTGGTAGTGTAGTACAGCGTTGATCGCAACTACCCACAGCAGAGAGAGTGAGTCACTGAGTAGTGTAGCACAGCGATGGCTGACTACCCACAGCAGAGAGAGTGAGTCACTGAGTAGTGTAGTACAGCGTTGATCGCAACTACCCACAGCAGAGAGAGTGAGTCCCTGGTAGTGTAGTACAGCGTTGATCGCAACTACCCACAGCAGAGAGAGTGAGTCACTGAGTAGTGTAGTACAGCGTTGATCGCAACTACCCACAGCAGAGAGAGTGAGTCACTGAGTAGTGTAGTAGCACAGCGATGGCTGACTACCCACAGCAGAGAGAGTGAGTCACTGAGTAGTGTAGTACAGCGTTGATCGCAACTACCCACAGCAGAGAGAGTGAGTCACTGGTAGTGTAGTACAGCGTTGATCGCAACTACCCACAGCAGAGAGAGTGAGTCACTGAGTAGTGTAGCACAGCGATGGCTGACTACAGAGAGAAATATCACTCACTTACTTGAGGCTAACATTCCAGCTCAATAATGATATTCAGGTAATGGCGAGAAAGTTAGTGATCCTTCAAATGTGTTGTTTTGGTTGGGGGAAAATGTGATTCTCCCCTTAATAATTGGTTGGACATCTTCAACCAACCATGGAGTACTTTCGTTTTGTGTTTATAAAGATGAACTCCAAATGGGTGAAACTGGAAGGAGAGTCTGCCGCTACACACAACCATGGGACCAGGAGACGACTCGCACAGTCTGCAACAAACAGACACATCATACAGGTCGCCTTGACATTGCTCTCTATTGTTTTGGTGCTCTATCAATGACTATCATTAATTACCAGGAAGCCGAAACAAGCTGCTGACCCTAACAGTGAAACTAGTGTCAGCCAATCCAGTATCGGGCCTTCAAACAAACACATTGTGCATATCGTGTTCGAACGAGTGAGGATGTTTAATAGGTATAGTCAAAAGTAAGTACATTTTTTCGTTTTTAGTTGCGGATGTTGTTGAAACTATTTGTTGAGTCCTGCCTTCCAGTGCATGAACAAAACCGAACTTTCGTCAACATTTCTCTTGAAGTTTCAGGTACACCATGCCATTCCTTCAGCTCGTAGTCACGGCGCACATAATCATTTACTCACAAGGTAAGGAATGAATGAGTGGGTGTACAAGTAAGTCGTGTTATCATTTTGTGAGTGAGGTAGTGAATGGGTTTAGTTTAATGGAACTTCTAACAGTTATGAGTCGACGTGTAAATCTGATCATGGAAGCAAAGTCTGATCTATGATGCATGCCACCTTGGCGAAAGCCATGAACATTGTTCTTACCTAGAATCTGGGATTCCAAGCCATAAACATAGGTTCCTGGCAGGAAGGCTTCATATCAGCGTGGTTGTGTATGTTTCAAATGCAGACTGTAAGCAGGGTATGTAATCTGTTCATATTCATTACAGTTATTATGGTTACGTCCAAGTACAAGTATTAGCTATTGGTTCTGTCTTCACATGCACAGGACTTTACAGACACTTCGTAATCTGACATCTCTCGCTTATGCGTTGATTGAAACTGCTTCATTTGGGGATCTGTGGTACATCTAACCTACTATATGTCACTGGATTGAGAAATGTCTTTTGGGGATCCTAGTATTTAATTTCATGACCATGTGGGCATATAAAGCAAGACCGCCATGATCCTCTCACATATTGTACAGATGTATTGCTCAAGACGATGGTAACTGTATACAAGTAGAACTTATGAGCACTTCATAAATATGTTTAAGATTAGTCAGTTTAAGATTAGTCATATTTGGGGATTATATTCACAGGTGCTAAATGTCCCGACACCCAGCATTGTACTGAGTGTGATGAACAGACAGGTCGATGCAGTACCAAGTGCCACAGAGGATATTTCGGCCCCAACTGCCAGGATGTTTGCAGCAGCAGGTGCAGGTACCACACGTGTGAGCTGCTCCCTGACAAAGGTATTGGGAGATGTACTGATGGTTGTATACCTGGATTCCAGGGTCTCACCTGTCAGAGGCCATGTGACACTCTCAAGGTAGGCTGTACCAGGTGCCCAGGTGGATGTGATGGGGAGTATTGTCAGGTGGCTGGAGCCTGTTTCTCTGGTTGCAGCCACTCCTACTACGGAGCAGGATGTAAGACATGTTCCAGCAGATGTAAGTCCTGCAACAAGATCACAGGCACCTGTGAGGAGTGTCACCCTCCTTATTCTGGAGTAGAGTGTGGACACTCATGTGAGAACTGTGTCGGAGGATGTGAGAGTGGCTGTAGAGAGGGATGCAGACAAGGTTTCTATGGGGACGACTGTACTGAAGCATGCAATGACACCTGTCGATCCTAACCCCTCCCTGACCACGGGTGGACAATGTCCAGATGGAGATTCGTGTCCACCTGAGTGCCACAGCCAGACTGGCGAGTGTGTCTACGGTTGCGTTGATGGCTGGTATGGCCGGAAGTGTTCACGGCGATGCAACTCTAACTGCCAGCACCAGAGGTGTAACCAGGCAGGTGCGTGTGTTGTAGGATGTGGGAAATGCCTCAAGGAAGCATGTAACACATCCTGTATCACTGGGTGTGACGGGTGTGCTGGTGGTGTTTGTGATGTGACATCCGGGGCCTGTGTACAGGGGATGCAACTCGACTGGATCCAGGTGCGGCGAACACTGTACAGACAACTGCCGGACATCTGATTGTCCGTCTGGATCGTGAACCAGGTACACATCTTCAGTCGTAGGTAACAGATCTCGTACATGTGACACAGACGTAAAATAGTTATGTTCACGATGTTCTGTATTCTTCCGCCTATGTGTTCAAGTCCTTTCAAAATGTTACATGTCACGCATGTCAACGATGACAAATCGCATGTCATGGAGCTTTGTTCTAAATATTGATATTGATTACAACAACAAAGATAGTAACAATAAATACTAGGAATATCCCAACCATCTTTGCTGCATCTGCAACTAATATCACGCAGACAATTATGGTGATTTTAATGCGACCTTGATTCCCTGTTTTGCGGTGTGATTGCTTCGTAGACAACTGTGAAATGTGTAAGTATAACTATTGATTCATCTTCCAGGGGAACCTGTGTCTGGTGCGTCTAACGCCGTCACGGTCACATCGGTGGTGCTTTTCGTCTTCATCCTCCTGACTGCATGTACCGCTGGCTACATCTGCTATCGCAAAGGAATGTGTCCCACACGGTCAGTTGACATTCGCAACAGGATTTTGAGCTAGCAGTATACTCAGTGGTCTACCACGATGACTGCAATGCCATTTAGAAAGTGATCAAATGTAACATATGTTATGTTTGGGATTTCACTTTCGGGTTAATCCGCGGGTTAGGCGGCTGACTTTGTGTGCTGGCGATTGGGTACCTGACTCTGAGGGTGTGAGTTCGAATCCCGGATGGAACTCGACTCAAAACGTACTAGAATAATCCTAACTACAACATACTAACGATGATGTCTGACAGTCATCGTAGCAGAGTTATGTCCCATGGTCGTGTGAGATTCCGATTATGTTGGCATTCTGCCTGAATGTTATTCTCAGTTTGACAGTCTGCTCTCCATGGGTTTAACACAGGGTTCCTGCATCACTTTGAGTGCGGTGTAAACCTCACCCATCCACACTCACTAATGACAAATAAGTAGAATCTAATATGTACACAGACTAAAGCATAGTAATGTAACTTATCAGCTTACGTTCAGCTGTCGTCCATTGCCCCATCAATCTCCCCGTATGTTGTTAATCGTATAATATACTTCAATCATGTACATAGAGAAAAATATCCAATAACCTTAAAATGGGATTGTTACAGGAATAAAGTTGATGATCAGAAACTGGAAGCTAAGCTGGAGCAGGCTGACATCCCCATCCACGACTACCTGGACCTACATCACTACGAGGACATCAGAGAGGAGGACATTGTGGAACCAGACCAGAACCACGGCACCGGTAGGGAGGAGGCTCCAGGCATTCCTGTTGTAGCAGACTGCTTCCCTGGAGAACTGATGACTGGTGTCAAGGATAAGTCAGGAAGAGGCTCGTACACTGAACTTAGGAAGGGCGGCCATGTCTCTCGTCCTAGATCGTCTGTCGGGTACATATCGCCACTTGAATAGGAGAACCAGTTGCGTCTATCAACCCTTGACAAGGATGTCAGTTGTATCTATCAACCTTTTACAAGGACATCAGTTGTGTCTATCTACCCTTGAGAAGGACATCAGTTGTGTCTATCAACCCTGACAATGACATCAGTTGTGTCTATCAACCTTGACAAGGATATCAGTTGTGTCTATCAACCATTGACAATGACATCAGTTGTGTCTATCAACCTTTGACAAGGATATGAGTTGTATCTATCAACTCTTGACAAGGACGTCCGTTGTGTCTATCAACCCTTGACAAGGATATCAGTTGTATCTATCAAACCTTGACAAGTATATCAGTTGTGTCTATCAACCCTTGACAAGGATATCAGTTGTGTCTATCAGCCCTTGACAAGGACGTCCGTTGTGTCTATCAACCCTTGACAAGGATATCAGTTGTATCTATCAAACCTTGACAAGGACATCAGTTGTGTCTATCAACCCTTGACAAGGACATCAGTTGTGTCTATCAACCCTTGTCAAGGACATCAGTTGTGTGTTATGAACCCTTGCCACTGACTTCAGTGTGATGTTGTGAGCTCTGTTTGAAAGTAACATAGGAAACATAATATACATATTGACTATTCATAAGGAAATCGGTATATTACAAGATTGTTTTCTTCCTGTGTGCGCTAACTCTCATGTGAAACCAGTCTATCTCAAGCAAAGAAACTGTCTGCCCTGTGATTTGTCTGTTCTTGTCACATCCAAGTGACATAGTTCACTCAAGATCCACACTGTAAGACTATAAAAATGCGCACGCGTCCGTACGCGCGTGCGTGCGTGCGATGCGTGTGTGTCCCTGCGGCCCTGAGTTTTTAAGTTGTAATACTTTACACTATACAGACTCAACTCTCTTCCTGTCTTCCAGAGTGAGGGATGAAATGATTACTGGACGTGTGTGGCTTCCTATCAGACAGGCAAAGTTGTACTGGTGGCAAGCATAATGTATATGTGTCAATCATCGTTTTAAGCGTAATTTCATTCCATGAACATTTGTATGAACACTGTGTTTGTACAAACTGTCCCTGTGTCACATAATGTATCACTAAGAGCAGCCACATTCGCTGGCATCATCACCCATCCATCGGGATACCCGTTTTAAACGTAATCGGACATTGAGGCAATAGATTTCTGAACAAGCTGAACTATGTATCGACTTCCCATACATAAATGTATGGGGTCTGAACACAAAAGGTTAAGGGGATTGTCTAGCGCTATCACAACTTACAATACATCAAATCATACATATGTTAATTTCTGGAACATATGTTTGTAAATAAATATACCGATTTGAAAACCTTAAAGATACTTTAGTACACATTTGTTTATCAGCTTTCCTTGTGTATTTAATTTATAAGCCTAAGTTCTTATTGGACAGTGGTGAATTGGTGGCACAGGCGTGTTAGTACGGTATACAATTCAGTGGATTTAGTTGTGTTAGGATTGGTAGTATTAATGTTGCTGCGAACACAACTTGGGTGAGTTGTGTTCTACATGGCTGGGCAAAGCTCCGAGTGATGCGGGTACAGGAAACCAGCAACCTACGGATATCACAGATCATGAGGCAGGCAGGTCGGATTCGAACACAATCACTTATATCTGGCACTCTGGATGTAACTTCTGTCAAATGTGTCACCCTGTCCACGCCCCGCATGTTGAATTGTGTTTATACTGAACGGTTCACGGTTTATGTGACTACACGTGTGTACATATTCTCATTATCAACGTGTCTCCATTAAATTTAGCAAATACATATCTGCCGCGTAAAACAATTTCTGTAGTAACTTAATAACATGCCCGTGTAAAATATTGGCAAGGCAGTAGCTGTACTTTACAGTAAAATCTTTGTAGCCAGTGTTCTGTATGTTTTGTTTACCATATCATCATGCTGTGATTATATCGTTTGTCTTCTGACTTGAAGTACTTTACTCTGAATATACACTAAACAGTGAAGCTGTATCGTGTGTGTGGACTTCAGGAGGTTCTAGTATGGTATGATCAAGTATATTTTGTGGGAGTGGCCACAGCTCTCAATGTCGGAGCTTGTTCCTCCTACCATGTGCCACCCAGTGTTGTTTTTTACTATTAGTAAACAGCTTACGCACTCTCACTCACTTACCCAACCAACCAACAAAACACTCACTCTATCACATTGTGACGGGTGTCCACCGTCTATTTCATCCCACTGGAGAGGGTTGAATAAACGATTCTGGGCCCAATGTTCACAGTGAAACAGTTTATGTTTATTCAGTTTTATTCATGCCTGTCAAGGGCCCCTCCCTATGACAGGACAACAGTGAAACATACACTTAGCTGACATTTGGATCTGGGTCACGAGTCATGCACTATAATTATATCTCCCGCTACCGACAGAATCACTCTGTCACCCGCATGAAGGCCATATTGGGTATACATGGATCTTATGTACGCTTTGGTTACAATTGTCAGCTATAGCAAATGTCACTTGAAATGTCCAAACTAACTAGATGTTTACCCGGCCCGGCGGTGGATAAAGTCAACTATGTGTACTTGCTGTCATCTGTGTGTCAGTATTACGAGATTGCTTGTACTGTGTTGATCGTCGTGAGGCTAAACTGTATCAGCCCTTAGTCTGCGCCTGGTTTCATGGCTCTTAGCAAGAACGAAAGACAGTCTGTGCCTGGTTTCATGGCTCTTAGCAGAACGGAAGACAGCCTGTGTCTATTACAGGGAGGAAGGTATGATCCATAAAGGATCTCCTCCATGTGGCAAGGAAGGAGAATGCACAAGGGGCATTTCCTATTTTTTTTTGAAAAATATTTACCTTTTAAATTATACATTGTTTTAATTATTTGTTTTCAATATATATATATATATATGGTATGTATGGATGTATGGATGTATGATATTGATATTATTTGTGTTTGCATCATACATTTGATGTTCGGGGTGGTGGGGTTTGCCCTAGGGATAATAACGTCTCTTCCCTCCCTCCCCTCACCTCTTAAGACCACATTGAAGATATGTACAAACACGCACGCACGCACATACATAGTTCGCCCTACCTCAAAAATTCCTGTAACAGACATCATCACCACCACCATCATCATCATCATCATCATCATCATCATCATCATCATCATCATCATCATCATCATATTTTGGATATTCCATACTACAAACATGCATCCATGTCCACAAAGACCATTTACCCCACCCGTTCACTATTCTATTGATTCACCGTATTGAACCGTAACAGTACCCCCACAGCAATGTCAGCGCATGCATGCAATGTGACACGTATAGTATTGTACACAAATCGTCTCCCTGTTTCACAATACCGAAAGTAGTAGGGTATTTGTAAACACCACAGATCAATCGTTTTGTTAGCGACATGTCTGGACGTGGAAAGACTCCGGATGCATCAGACATTCATCTTGTACTCGTGAGTGTGTTTTGACTATATTCAATTTGCTTTAGCTCAGCTTATTCCTCGTCGCTAACGATATTACTTGGACGTGACATTTCAAATCGGATCAAGTGGGATTTCCCCATTGGGTGAATGTATCACGGGTCTGGAATGTTGGTCTTTATTTCTATGTTATGTCATTTGGTCACTCGTCACATCCACTGAGACCAACTAAAAGGTTAACCAGTAGATGGAGCAGTAAACACCACACGGTGTATAACTACGATATCTCAGCTGAGGTTACGTGTATGTTCTGAGTAACCAAAGTGAAAGTGAAACAACAGCTTTCCAACTGCGTTGTTTGTATCATCTCATGACGTCCTGGGGAAATACATCAGTAAGTGTACACATTGTTCAGTGTTTGTATTATCTCATTTGTTGTCCTGGGCATACATCAGTAAGTGTACACATTGTTGCAGTGTTTGTATTATCTCATGATGTGCTGGGATACCATGAGATAATACAAACACTGAGCAATCAATGTGCACTTACTGTGTTCCCAGGACGTCATGAGATGATACAAACAACGCAGTTGGAGCTGTTGTTTCACTTTCACTTTGGTTACTCAGAACATACGTAACCTCGGCTGAGATATCGTAGTTATGCCGTGTGTTGCCCATCTACTGGTTGCTAGTTGATCTCGAAATGTGATGACTCTTATAAATGAACCAACATTCAGAACCATGACAATCACCAATAATCCCCACCGATCGATGTACATCAATATCGTCCAGCGACGAAACAAAACTGAGCTAAAGCGAACTATAGTCAAAACACACTCAGTAAGATAGTCATCGGAATAGCTTTCCACGTCGAACTGTAACCAATAACGACCATTCTGGTGTTTACAATACCTACTTCATTTATTGGCTGAGAACATTTGTCGACTATTCTACTTCCGTCTACATGCATCGCATATTCATTGCTAATATTCAATACGAAGAAACGAGTAATATTAACTTTATGAACATGAATATGTTGCTAATATCGATATCAAACTATGATGATGATGATGATGATGACTGACGATGATGATAATGACTGATGATGATGATGAAACGATGATATGATTACGGAAGTAATAACAACAAATTGGGTAGATGTTTGTGTAATGATGATGATGAATGAAAGGAGGAAGGAAATACCTTTACCTGTAATCTTCGCTATAATCAATACTACCTACACACACACATCCATATCCACATACCATATATATATATATATATTGAAAAAAACAAACTGTCAACCTGTTAAAAGGTATTTTTTTCGCATTCTCCTTCCTTGCCATGGAAGATGCTTTATGGCATACCTTTCTCCTGTGTTGTGATGCAGGCCATCTTCGTTCTTTGCCAAAACAATGAATTCTTTGCTTAAACGAGCACGAACAATTTCACCATTTGATACGTTTCTTTAATCA